TCTCATTGAGGTTGCTTCTTTGGATGGGTCTCATCGTCGTGTCATTATAGACTCTGGTCTTGTCAATCCTCGTGCTATTGTCACTGACCCTCCCAATGGGTGTGTAATGTTTCACATAAAACCTTTATGCTTTAGTAGCTTGTATCTTTCACATATAACAAGGGAGAGTCCAATCCAAGGGATGTTTTGTTGTTCATATGTACAGTTTTAAGAAAATTCTGTAATGTAAATTAATCCCTTCACAGTGCACATTTAAAGGAATAATTCAAGAGTTAGGCAAATACACTTATTTGGTTTCTTGCCAAGAGTTAGATGAGAAGATTGATACTACTGTCAGTTGTGTACACTGAATATGAAGCAGCAGGGTAGCTTAGCATAAAGACAGTAAAAATGGGGAAACAGCTAGTCTGGCTCTGTCCACAGGTTAAAGAAATCACTTAACAGCACTTCTCAAATAAATTCATTAACATGTTCTGTCTTGTCTGTTTATCTTGTGCAAAAACAGCCTAAAATTAGCTTAGCACAAGGTAAATAAGCATGCTTCCCAAAATATCAATTTTTTTCTTTAAATAAAATAGATGTCATGTATGTAATAGAAGCACTGGTAGGTGGGTTACCTCTGGACAGAGACAAACTACCTTCTTCCATTTTCCATTTCTGGATTGTTGTTTATTGCTTGGTTTGAACTGACTTCACACTTGTTCTTATAACAGTAATCTATACTGGTCTGACTGGAACCGCGAGGCCCCCAAGATTGAGACCTCTTACATGGATGGATCCAATAGACGGGTGCTGGTTAAAGATGATCTCACCCTGCCGAACGCCTTGACTTATGACTCTCAGAGTTCCCTGCTTTGTTGGGCAGATGCAGGTGCTGTATATTTCAGAAAGATGATTCATCTGTGAAATATCTGCCTTGTGATCAGCACTAAATGTAATCTCTTGCCTGTAGGCACACATAAAATGGAGTGCATGCATCCTGGTCGGGGTGACCGCAGAGTGATTATGGAGGGGATTCAGTATCCTTTTGGAATTACAACCTATGGCAAGAACATCTACTACACTGACTGGCGGAGGTTTGACTTTATTATTATAAACTTTTAAAGTTTCACTTTTTTATGTTTCCATGGTCCACTGTGCAATGTAAGAACCCAGATCTGTAGAGGCAGGAGAGGGTGGGTCTGAGGTCAAAAAACTCCCCACTCTTCTAGCATGGGTCCTTGATGTTTTCCCACACATGAACACTCCCACTCTGAAGACTGTGGAGCTTTCTTCTCATGCAACTGATTCAGTATGTTAACCACTGCTAAACGGAGGGGGTTGGGGTGTCTGTGTTTATGTGTATGTGTGTGTGTTGGGGGGGTGGGTCTTAAAAAGTGGCAGCTGCTTGCAATTTCTCACCTTGAGCAACTGCCAGTGACCTGCCCAGGCCCTCACTATGATCTCACCAGTACTGTAGCTTTGCTGGAGAAGGTTGAGACTAGGTAGTGGGGGAGGTACACACTTCAACAGTTTATCACAAACTGTGAATTACGCCTAAAAAGCCTACTCAAACTGTTACTCATCCTTGACAGACTTTATACAAAACACAAGTAGACAGGATGCCAGCATTTCCTAAACTGGGGTTGTCCCAGATTGCTGAACTCTTGTGCTGACTGTGTTTACAACAGGGATGCTGTGATTGAAGTGGACCGCTATGCTGGCAGGGAGTCAGACGAGTTCCAGCCTCAGAAGCGGACCAAGATATACGGGATTGCCACAGCCTATGCCCAGTGTCCTTCAGGTATTAAGCCAGCTGTGAGGATGTAACAGAGCCTTACATTCACCTTAAAAACCATGTGTGCTTTTAACATTTTGACATTTTTATTTATATTGGGAGCTACCTTTGAGATTTATCATTAATTACTCTACTCTTCAGGACCCAGCAGCCTATTTTCATGAACATTTGAGACCAGTTTCCAAACCAGAAAATTGCAGGTTCATGTCTCAACCTGAAAGCAACAGAAGGAATTCTGCAGCTATTCATCATTAAGTGAAGGAATGGCCTCATCCTCCCTTCTAAGGCTGCATGCATGAAACAAGGGAATGTGGAGTCATGAGAAAGGGGCCTCCAGCATCTGGGGTTGCTCTGTGTTTCCTTTAAGGATGCATAGTATCTGTTGAGCAGTGAAGAGGCTTTTACTGCTGTTCCATGCTGGTGGATCATGACAAATACCTTAGAATGTCCCACATAAATAAAAGTTTGTATGTTTTCTCTTTCCACAGGACAAAACTACTGTGCTGTGAACAATGGGGGCTGCACTCACCTCTGTTTAGCAACTCCAACCGGCCGCTCATGCAAGTGCCCCAGCAATGCAGTTGGCTGTGTGGAGAGAGACAGCGGGTACTGAAATGAGGCACCTGAGACTGTTTGGATGTTTGACAGCAAATTAGGAGCCACTCAGCATTACTCAACTATAGCTGCTGAAAATGCCACTGAAAGTCAGACGTGAAACTTACTGTGCAGTGTTATGCTTGTCTTTTACTATGTCCATAACTTTTATAAAACCACATTTGCCTTTCAAAATTGTAAATATAAACATTATTATGTTGACTTCTTACCCAAGTGCACATAAACTGAAAATAAAGCTCAAGGGATACATGTTTTACTGTGAAATTCAGCAATGCATGACATCATCTCATGTCAATTGTGTTATACTGTGGCATGTTTGGATTATCTCATTCTGTAGGTTATGGAAGTATTATTGTGGAACAGGACTGAACGAGTCTATACAAGTTGGTGGGATGAGTTTATTTGTTGGACAGCAAAATAAACATTTTTCTAACATGTAGGTGTTGGTTGGTGCTGCCAAATTGGGAACAGGGAGTAGCTTATTATACCGACCATGGTTGAACAAATTACCATTCTAAGGTACATTTATATGTAGAAATGCAGAATACCATATATAAAAAGGTGGTTTAGTTTGTGACATATTCCCCAAACTATTTGTAATTATTTTTTACCAGTAGGAGTCACTAGTGAACACTGCAGATCCTCTGTATGGATAAATTATAAAAACTCAATTACTCTATGAGTCTTGTGGTCTTGTAGTGTCAACACACTGCAAAGTAAAGCATTACTGGCACATTAAGTGGCTCTTTGTAAACTCAAAATATATTATTGAGCTGCAACCATACTGAGAACCACAATATTTGTATCAGGGTTGTAACTTGTAACTAAATAATATTTCATTTCAACCTGCTGATTACTTACACCGGTGTAATGCCAGAAAAACCTAAAATGCTTAGTAATGTCCTAAATCTCAGAGTGACATCATCAAATTACAAATTTTGTCTACTCCAAAAGTCTGAAGATGTTCAGTAGAACACAAATAAAAGCATCAAATCCTCACTATTCACAAGGCAAACTAGATTTTTTAAAATAACTTTTCTGTTAGTCAGCTACTCAGTAGTCTAATCAATTTATCAACAAATTTTTTCTGCTTTAATTCATTAATCTTCAACTATACATATTTTTTTTACTTGATGTGAAATATTGTCTCCACACCAAAACTAATACTATTTTTATAGCTTAATGTGTTATTAAACAAGATTTAAACGTGTGCTATTGCAAATAGGTCAGAATTTACCTACACATGCTGATTTGTGAATAAACTTTTAACCTGTGTTTGGCGATTGACGTATGAAATAAACATCTCCTGTGATGGTTTATTTATGGTTTTGCCTCGAAGAGCTGGAGAATTTACAGACATTAATCAAATGCACCCACTGCCTGAACGAAATGCTTTTATTGGGAAATTAACTGTGTGTTATCCAATGGGAAACAAAGGAGTATGTGGCATTTGACCCTCAGATTTGTCTGCAAGGAATATTTGCGCTTGGCCAAAACCGATTACAAACGATTAATTAGCATTTTGGATAAATTATTCTATAAATATGAGACACACTTTTATTTAACAAGTTAATCACAGTTGTGTTTTATGTGTTATGGCGAGTCGGATACACAATATTACTAAAAACTAGAAGACTCAAATATCTACTGATATTTTTGAACATAAGAGCGTACAGAAATGTAACAAAACAAAGAAACATGAAAGTGTCTAACCAAACTCACTTTCAGCGCCTTGCTCAGTCGTCGACGTAGGACATATGTCTTGCAGTCAATGCTGAGGGCTAAATCACACAGAATAGACCAATGAAGGAAGGCTAGCATTAGCTGCCTTCAATTTAGGGAAGACTAAGGTATGTATGAAAATGAATCCTTCCCGCACGGAACGGGATAGCACGAGTGTAGGAAAGATGTACCTATAGGAACCGCCTGTTTATTTTGGTAGAGGCCGATATTGGGGTGTTCGCTTCTCTCTGTTACACAGTTTTGACAGCTGCCTTACACAGTGCGATGCGATGATACAACCAGCATAACAGCTAACGCTATGATTGTTAAAAAACAATCTAAAATGGCCGAGTATGTAGTTTGCATATTGAGATAGGTTGTAAAACTCGTTAGGTATTTCAGCTCTGAAGCTAATACGGCATTTATGCAAATATTTTGGTTAAAATTACCGAGCTCTCTTGCTTGTATCTGTTGTCAAGTTACCTAGAACAGTAAAAACAACTATCGAGTAGGACTTTCAAAATAAAACTAATTGCTATCGCCCCTCACCTGTGAAAGTGAAACAATTGTGTAGTTGGCGTTACATAGTTAATATTTATCGTGTGTGGCTTGATACACCAAATTGATCAGGAGGTATGCTAAAAAAGACTAGAATACATTAAGTCCCAGATTATTTATTTATTCTTTTAATTGGGCTTATTCTCATCTGATGTAAGAAATAAAGTGTAGACTTTTTTTATCCGTAGACTTTATCATGCAGCCTAAATGTAGTCAATATTTTAAAATCATAATAAGAAAAAAACTGATTATTTGTGTTGACACTTGATTGCATGGTTTGCCCTGGCATCTAGAAAATATATATGACATTGCTACTTTAAAAAGGATAAAACAAATGTGTTTACTAAATGACATTCAAAGCATTGTAACTCATTATATAGCATTATAATTAAATTAATGTGTCGTGTGTAAGAAAAATGATATTTTTAAACCTTTTTTTTTTAGCATTTTAAGCTTTTATTGTTAGAATACCGCAATCATCTAATTTAATATTTTTGGAGTTTCCAATAAGATTATATTAATGAAAGTAAAAAGTTTGGTGCTTTTATTTTGAAAACAACATTATTTTCGGAAGTGGGTCAAGTCAGTTACCCTGAAATTTTGACGCAGGTTCTTACAGACCTAGCTAGCTATTTGAGTGCATTGCTCAGTTACATTTTGTTTTGGTACTGATACAGCGTTTCAAACTCATTTGACCGACGTTTCGGGTTTAAGTCAGGTTCAGTTGTGTTATATATAATTATCAGTATCTCTGAGAGGGTGGGCAAACGCGAAAATGGCTTTGTCAGCTAATTCTGTTTTGCTAACCCATTACATTGTGTTATTTTTTCAGAAGCCCAATGTAAAAGTGGCGAAGCAGTGCAGAGAATCATGAATCTGATATGAAAGACTCAGGAGAACCACTGGGGCTTGTTACGGTGCAGTCCGGGGCACTCTCAGCCACCTGGAGGACTACAAAGACAACTAAACTGAGAGTTTAGACATTCCTGACTTCCTCTACACCTTGACTTCTGCACCTGGATGCGTGGACGACATGGCAGGTCCACAGCAGACTGATTTGTCATATGCCTGGGAAAAGTACATGGACTGTAGACTGCAGGGAGTGGATCTGCAGGTAGGCGCTGATGGCAAACAATCTGAAGTCAGGTGTGAGACAGGCTCAGCTCAGGATCACTCTTTGAGTTGTGCATAATTACTACAGAGCAGTGATCCTGGAAAAGCCCCAAGATTCCTGAAATTTATTTTCAAAAGTCATGAGCAACGTTGATGGAATCAAAATATTAGACATTTTGCAAATCCACATTAGGCAGTTGATTATTGCTCACTCTGAAATAAGGACGGTCTCTTTTCTGTTTAGAAATTCTCACTCTATCATTCAAATTTAGTCTTCAATGGAGCCAAACAGCTGTAGGGTTCTGGTGTTGGTGTGAGATGTGCTGGATTCCAAGCTAACTAAAATGTTCACCACAGCTATGTTATCAAAGAGCATCAAACATTGTTTAGAGACACTCTTCTAGTCTGCTCCTTGTCCTTGTCGTGCCTAACTTACTTTCCTGCTTTTGTCTTAGCTGTTCCACAGTGTGCAACCTTGAGATAGAAGAGACAGGTCAAGTCACATCTTATTTACATAGCCCAATATCACAAATCACAAATTTGTCTTCAAGATCTTTACAATTTGTACAGCAAATGACACCCTGTCTGTAGACCCTCAAATCAGTTAAGGAAAAATTCTCCCCCCCCCCCCAAAAAATCCTTAACAAGGGAAAAATGTGAGGATGAGCAACAGAGGAGAGATCCCTCTTTGAGAACGAACAGACATGCAATAGATGTGTGCGCAAAATAAATCAATAAAATAGCATTACACTATGGACAATCAGAATGACCAAATTGTATATTGTATTGTAGGACCTGTTGCAGTCGTAGCAGAAGCATACAGTAGCATAGATGCACAAATGTTAATTCTGCTCTGCAGATTTTTTGCAATGGAAAACAGTTACATTAATGCAGAGCTACAATAAATAAAAATAAATAAAAAAAATAAAACATCCGAACAGAAGAAGAATACAATTTTTATAAGATTTTCTCATTACAACCGGATAAGACTGTTTATCTTCGAATATGATTTTTTTTTTTTTTAAAGTGTAAAATTATATATAGTTGCATGAGGACACAAGGTGTGGAGCCATTTGCTATCTGTCCTTCTGTCATTGTATTAGAGCTGAGCCTTAAAGGTAACTGACAGAAAACCATTTCCCCTGTTGTTTGGGACATACTCTGAATCCTCTTTAGGATGTCACCCTTTTGCCACTTTTGTAGGTAGAGATTTAGCTAATACACAGCATAATTACAGGCAGGACCAGCAGTGAGTCACTGCTTAGAGGTGGAGGTAGGTGTCAAACACAGATTTCTCTTTATGAGTGTTGTGCGAGTTTTGTTCTTGTGTCAGTTTATCACAGGAGTGAGTGGCAGTGGTTCTGAAATGTCTTTCCAACCACAGTCTAACCACAGCTCTTTTCACCTCCCTCCTGCTGTGTTAACAGCAGCAAGATCACAAGGCCTTGATTAGCAGTGAACTGCAGGCCTAGGAGTGATTTGCCCTCCACACACACACACACACACACACACACACACACACACACACACACACAAGGATGAACTGATTTCTCCTTTATTGTTCATCCATTATTTTTGATTTATCATGTGTGGGTTGTCCTTTAAAGACAGACCTGCTATCATTTATAAAGCTAATGACTGCTGAGAAAGTCAAAGGTTTTTTTCTGTCGTGAAATGAATGTCTTTCTTCTTCTACAGTCATTGTGTCTGGGGTGGTTTGTTATGCTGTTCTGCCCTGTTAATCATGTTGGTGTGCATTAGGATATCACCTGTAGAAATGGTGCAGACTTGTTTTTGCTTGCCATAGTCATGCTAATGCTTGGACTACAGCATGCAGGCTCTGCCTTTCTATTAATGGTAAGTTTTTATGTCACTGTTAGTTGTGATGACTCCTTTGGGACGACTGTTTGCTGCTCAACTTGTCACCTTTGCAGTGATCCAAGCTGTGTGTGTGTGTGTGTGTGTGTGTATGTGTGTGTTTATGAGTGACATGCAGAAAGATGTGCTCCCCAGTGTACTGATACTGAAGCTTACCCTCCTGATTGAAACTGATGGGGATGCAGAGTGACAGGCTGTAACACTCACATGGATACTGTTGCACTGCTTACACATAATATTTTCTTACCAGCTCATTTTGCCAGTCCCATCAGTGCATAGGTGTAAACTGTACACCCTTCCATCTCGCCCAAAGTGGCATCTTCTAGTTATTGCAGTCAGGTAAATGTGACAAAGTGTTTAAGGAAACTGTCTAGCGACTGAACACCCTGTTCTTAGGCCCATCAGAGAGCAAGAGTTGGCCCTGCTCTTCTGCATTCAGTTCTGTGTTCACACTTTATAGTGAAATGTTTAGGTCAAAAAGACATCTTCTGCTGCAGTAATCAATATGGTACCATGAAAAAAAAAAAAGGAACATTACTGGTCCTGCAGCCCCTCCCATTTTCTCTGCCTCCCTCATTTTTTATTCTTTGCATTATTGTCTCTGATCTCTCTGCTTTTCAATTGCATTTATGTCCAATTAATTCTCTTACTGGTATTTCTGTTACTTGTCCACAGCACACTAACCAAGCCCTTCGTGGGTTGGGCCTAGACGTGGCCTGATACTTGACCACAGTTGCACTCTTTCTGTTTGTTAATGTGACCTTTCAAAGTACTTTTCCAAAAAAGCTGAAATGCCATGAAAATATGACTTTTAAAAACTCTTGTGTATTTTTGGGTCAAAAGAAATCAGTCTCAAAATACGTAGTTTAGGTAGATCTGTCTGGCTCTCTTATTGCATTCATTCTACTTACTATACATTCACTATACATGAATGTGCCTTAAATAACAGCATTTATTATATGGAATTCCTTATCACAAGTCATTATAGTTATATCTTCATAGCATCTACTTTAAGGTAGCATACTGCTATGTAGCTTTAGTGTAATGGGATTATTTGTATTGAGCCTTTCCATTTTTTTAGACTTCTCCTGTATTTGGAGCCAAAACTACTGTGTTAGTGTGTTCAGAGGAAATTGGCCTTTAACACACTTGCACCAAAGCTTCTGTGGGGATACTTTACAATCTGTCCAGAATCTCTGTATCCTGATGAGTGGAGTCAGTTTATTAGATTTGGTGGCCTGGCTAGGAGCAAAGCAAGAGGGCAGGTTTTGTTGCTTGTGGATTGTTTGGTTTCATTATGAACCAACAGGATGTTTCAAAACACCACGCGAGGTGTTTGGAACACTTCACTTTTTTGCCTTTGCCTTTGCCTTTTGGTACTTTCTGTAAGGGTCTCCAGCGAATTGATTTTTGCATGCTCTACTTCAGTCTTACACCATGTTAACTGCAGTCTTACACCATGTTAACTGTGGGTGAGTTTAGCTTGTTTTTGTAAAGTTTTACTTATAAAAATGGATAAGATGTTTTCCTGTGCAGTTATTGGACTCATTCTGTTAAGTATTGCTCTGTAGTTGCTCTAATATCAGTCATGTTTTAGACAGTTTATAACTAAACGTAAATGAACATTGTCACTTGACCTCCTAGCAACAGATACTTCTGTGTAAAGCTGATTAAATGTGGGGGTTGTCTGAAGGGAGCACACTAATCACATAATCCACTACATTACTTGTTATTAGCAGTCTAAACGCAGTTCTGTGCTGTGCATTCATTCTGTGTTAAAGCTCCAGATCCTTTTCTAAAGAAGATTTAACTTGTCGAACAAAGCATAAGGCAAAATGCAGTGAATACTGAAGAGGGGAGGAAAGTGCTGGTTCACCTTCATCCCCAATGTTTATTGTTTGGCTTGGCAGGACTGAACAATGTGAGATGGACCATACTTCATCTCATTGCACATAGCACAGCAGAGACATGCTGTGAAGTTTGTCTGTCATTAAGGTCAGCTGTATAACTGCTCTAGCTATTTAAAGCAATTATTGGTAACGTAAATAGATCATATTCCACATCTGAGCAACTAAGGGCAATGTAAAGTGTGAAAAAGTAATTGGTACCTTAACTGGTTTCTCTTGTAATTTTCATATAGCAGTTTGTAACACAGAAAAATTATTCATGATATCTTCTTTTCAATTTGAGGGTTGATGATTTGCCAATATCCAGTATTTCATTAAAGGCCCATATCGGCACAAAATATGTCACTTTAACCCAAGCTGTTTTATTATTCCATGCTTTTATGTCTTTGAACCGGCGATAGCCACAGCCAGAGGCATTATGTTTTTGGTTTGTCCGTCCGTCCAGACCATTTTTGTGCGTGCCGTATGTAAGGAATGCCTTGAAGTAGTTTTGGCACAAGTGTTCAGTTGGACTCAAGGATGAACTGATTAGACTTTGGTGGTCAAAGGTCAAGATCCATGACCTCATGTCTGTCCCATTCTCATGAGTGGAGACTAACAACAGCAACATGATAATTCTGGTTTATAATATTTGATAGTTACCTAAATGTGGCACTGTTCTCAGCACAATAATAGTACACACACAATGCAGTGCAGTGTATTGTATATTGTGTATTGTGTACCCTATGTACTTAGTAGCTGTGAGTCAGTACTTAAAAGAATTATTAAAGAATTTTGGGACTCTTTAGGACAAGTAGTTTAATTTATTTGACCCAATAAAAGCAAACAAACATATACAGCTTGCTTATCTTACCTACTCTTAATGCAAACAGTACTTGGACTACACAGTTAACATTTTATTAATAACCATGTCCAATTTGTAACAAACCAGACCATGCTTGGACTTGCACATTAGTGTGATGAATCTCTTTTATTTATTCTACACTGATTTGTCATTAATACTCCTTCCTAGTGAATTTAACAAAATCCTTTGAGTAAAATCCAAGTGTTATGGTCCAAGCATATGAAGTGTGCAGTCAGGCTCTGATTATGTTGTCTTGTGATCATTACACTACTTTCAAAGTTCTGATCATTTTAATTTGTGCTGTGTGACTTTCATAATTTTTAGCATGTTCTGACATTGTTTACCAAGGCTCGCTGGCTGACCACAGAACCTGTTTCACTTCTGCATTTATTGTTCCACTCTTAGTTGCAACCTAACTCCTAGCTCTGCTCTCCAGGGCTGTGCATACAATTGGCTGAATGCATGAATAATTCATCTCTAGTTCTAGACTGAGTCAGACTCCAGCCATTGCTCTGCCGCAGCATTTGTCAGATGTCTCCCTCCAAAACACAGTCACTCAGGCCCAAAGGGAAGAGAAAGGCTAGAGCAAGCTGTTTGGGTTGTAATTTTGACCAGCACCAGCTTGCATGCTGTCTCCCTGTAATGAAAACAGTGAAGCAGAGAGTGACACATTTTTATGTCTTGTGCAGTGGTTAAGGTGGGTTAAAGGTCACTGCTTATGACAGAATGGACCTGATGCCTCTTTAGATTTTATCATGTTTTCATAAGAAAATGTAAAAAACAAAAAATTCATGCTGTGTGAAACAGCTCTGCTCTCTAACTCATAGTTTGTGAGGAAATGTGCAACGTTATGAGCTCCTCATTACAATCATCACGCAAAATGTGCAATTAGATCTGTAGAGATCTGAAACTGGAAAAAACATTTCATGAGAAATTTCCCACATCCTCCCAAGTACAGGATCACATCACTTTCACTGCGTCTGTCAAGTTGCAGTCTACCCAGTTTATCCAAAGAGCGTGGGTGACTCAGCCATCACACTCCCATGACTAAGCTTTCCCATGATCGGATAAAGATACAGGTCTCAGCCACTGTTTCAGAGCAGTAATGCAACATTGGGTTTTCAGTATTCGTATGTGTTTTCCTCTAATGTAAAGCCACCCTCTTACAAACGAAGAAGATAAGCCACAGAGGAGTATAAACAGCATGTGTGTGCAGTTTCTTTCTGTGGTGTCTCCTTCACTTGTGCTGTTCTGTCGCTGAACCTGACCCCTGACCTTCCTGAACTAGGAAAAACAAAGAGAATAAAGCAACCACATTGGTTTCTTTCAGTTCTTTTTTTGAATTTTTGCTCTTTGTGTCTCCCTTATCACCCAAAGTGTAGCAAGTTAATTTCTCTCTGGTTAAATAAATTCTTCAGTCAACAAATTGTAAAATGGCTAGAAAAATTTGCTCTTATCATGCATGTGGCAATAATTGAAATCAGTAGCTATATGTCTCAACCACCCAGATTGCCTGTTGCCGACTACATGACGAATGAGCCAGTGAAGTTCCTCACCGTAGAGGAAAGGTCAAAGCTGTCGTTTTGTTTGCAGAAATTGATTGGATTAGAGCCTCAGAGGAAAAAAAAAAACAACCCAGCTGCAGGGAAATTAGTGTTATTGTGAACCACTCAGTTTCCCTTTGCTATATGAGGAATACAGGTACATTGATAAGGCAAGGACAAACCAAGTCATTACAGATATGCATTTTAGGAGATTACTTTTAATTGACTGAGTGCACAGCCCCTGCACATCTCCATGACTTATTTAATAACAGCTTTTGCAACCTCTGGGCAGTGATTTCTTGTCACTTTTCCTTTTTATCTTTACTCTCATCTGTTGCTGAAGTTATTTTGTTCATCTTTTATGTCAGCTTTCATGTTTTACTTCTCATGATCTGTGAATTTCTTTTTTTTTCCTTTTCCTGTGTGCAATGTTGTTCAGCCCCTGTGGTGTGCTGTGCCCCCCCCCCCCCCCCCCCCCCCCCCCCTTGCCGGGGGTTGTTTTTGCCACAGCTGTTGAAGTGTCACCCTCTCTGCCCCTCCTTGACCCTGGTGAGTGTGATGAACTCTACACCTTCATCACCTGGAACCTGAACATTTTAGATCCTTGATGGCAATAAACTTGTGCATCTTTTAGCCGTATATAGATCAATTGGCAACATTGTGTCTTTTTTAAGAAATGTCATTCATAACGGTAACAGAAGAAGAAAACATCCTTGGGGACTTGTGTCACAGGAAGGAAGCTGACTCACTACATAACGTATAGCAGAGCTAGGTTTTGGCAGAACGGTAATCTTGGCCCCTGTTCTGACAGCCAAAGCCGAGGTGTGATAAAACCACAGGCATCTGAGTAACTGAAGTGCAAGTCAGCTTCTTTTGTTTTTGTTGTGGAGAGTGAGAAGAATCAGTGTTACACATCTCCATAGCTGCCTTTTGCTGTTTTAGGACATGTAGGCAAGACACAGAAATCTGTAAATAACAGCAGATTGTATTTACTCTTTAAAGGGCTGTTTTACATCACACATTTTGTTCTTGTCACTTTCTACTTATGTTTATGTTATGCTAATAGATTCCATAATTGAGTCTGTGGAAATCTGTGTCCATGCAGCTAAATGATGTTCTGTGTTGTCACTGTGACAAATCGTGGTAGTACAGCATCCAAATTTCTATTAAGTGATACAACCAGTTTACTTTTTAGTGAGGAATTCAAGGGCGCAAGCCAGTACCGGGATACAAGCACACACGTACAAAACAAATACATCCTAATCTTTAGTGATGACTGATTTCTGGTTATAGGAAACTTGTAAAGTTGAATGCCAGTGTTAGTTGATGTGTATGTTTTTTCAAAGCAAGATAAATCAAAGGTGCTCTGTGGAGTTTTCTGGTGAGCAAAGGTTGGTTTCATTCAGAGCAACATCACGCATCACAGCAAAGTGTATATCCTAGAGATCTGTTGTTGCTGAATACAATTGTAAATGTTTTCAATCTGTAAAAACTTGCATTGTTTACATTCTTGTTTGCTTGCTAGCAGTAGTCTTCTTCACAGCCTTAGCTTGTGCGGGCGCTGCTGCCACAAGTTGTCAGTCACTAAAATAGCACGAAGCAATCGCAGAGTGTGTGCATCATGCTGTCCGCGAGTTCATGCACAAGAAAAACTTGTTAATGCTGTTAGTAGTCAAACACTCCACAGGTAAATACAGATTATTTAAAGTGCATAGAACACATGATGGAAGATCTTTTATTTTTCTAAAATGTTGTCAGTAATAATCCAGCACACATATGCCAAACTTCATTTTATTTTGACCAATTTAAGGTGATGGAATATATCAGTTTTTGGGAGCAGGTAAAGGGAGGGGGAAACAATTTGTTTGGACAGTTTAATTTCATTTTTGAAGAGTTGTGACTGATTAATTTCTGATGCTTTTAAGGAAAGTCTAATCATTTTTAGCAAACGGAACCCTTTTCTTAGAGCCATCTTAATGCTAAGGTGATCCTAGTCCTGTTGTCAGTGGACTGAGATCCCTGGTAAACAAGAGTTTACCAGGGACAGATACAGTAAGACTTAATTAGTGATATACTGACACAGCTAAGATGATGGTAAACAAGAGTTTACCAGGGCAGCAAGTCTATATTGAATGTACATAGTGTTGACTAAGGACACCAGCTTGCCAGATTTATAGTGAACCCACCAATGGCCTTCCTTTAACAACAATGCTATAGCTCTCCAATTTTAGTGAACTGTATGTTTTTCATTCTGTCGGCACCATTGTAGGCATTCATAATGGTAACGTGTCTGTATTGTGGTCTATTGTGGTGTCTGTTCTTTAGCTTTGAGACCCAGACACTCAGCACAACCACATCAGCATCAGCATGGCCTGAATTAATCCAGTAAAGCTAGCTCCTGTGTGGTGTAAGGGATGGCAGCACACTGGCTCAGAGATCACACATCTGCCTGAAAGGTATACCCTGGAACCAGTAATGCAGTTAAAAGCGGTCATGTGGCTCGTCTCGCTGTGGTGGAAGATTCCCATTTTGAGGTCAGCCTCTGACCACAGCTCAGTGATATTTCCTCAGATTCAGAGATTCTCCAGTGCTGTTCTGTTACTGGTGATGTTTAATTATAAACCGCTGTACTATCCAGACTGTTGTTACACACCGAGACCCAGCACTCCAACAGACTTCATAAATCAGTATTGGAGCAATAGTCAGATGGGATGACACTAATGGCTGTTACATTGCTATCTAATTGAGTGTGCCATCAAGTATAATGACTACATAAGGTAAAATCAGCAGTAGCAATGTCATAATGGGTTATCAGATGAAAGGGAAATGTTTTTGTGTAGTGTGTTTTTATTTCAGTCTCTCTTGTTAGTGCACACAGTCAGTAATAATCTGGGTTTGATTCATACTCTTGTGTCTTATCTCTCTGTCTCTAATCAGGTTAGCCTGCAGAGTCTGGAGAATTTCCTCTGTCTCTTCCACTATGTACAGCATCATCCCACCTACAGCACCACAGATGCACTGAAATTCTGGTAGGTTTCATTACTTTTTTAACTTCTTAACTGTACTGTAGCGGAGGTTGTGTCTCACTTAGGGCGAGTAAAACTCCAGTACAGCAGCATACATTTGAATGGATGGATACAAGTTGTGACAGGGACTATGTGCACTAACTGCAAACACACTTACACTTTGGTCTTTTTGCTCGTCTTAACTCTGAGATCAACCACTGGATGTTCCATTTTTAATTTTTATGAGCTTTTTTTCTGTAGTAATTACACACTTGGCTAACAGATGCTTTAGAAACTGAACTGCAGTGGGTTTGTTACAAAATCATGTCATTGCACTGTTGTAAACTCTTTAGTTTTGTTTGCTTAGCTTGTACATTTGCAGTTTGTTATAGCGTCATTGTAGTTTGTTTTGTAATTGTTGGTGTATCGTTTCCCTGACGACCATGAAGCTGTGAGTGTTTGTAATGTTGGAACAAGATGGACACACGTTAGCCTAGCAGTTACCTTTTTTGTCATGGATCGGAGTCCAAAATGAAAACATTTTTCAGTTCAAATAATCCATAATCATGAACTAGTCAGTTATTTTTTACAAATGTGCAGCCCAACTCATCAGGCTTGAGTGACAATTTCAATTTATTGAACAAACCAAAAAAAAAGTAAACGATCAACACTAAACAAACATTTTGTATGTGCACACCAGGAGGCTTGAGGCTGAAGTCAAAGTAGAAATCGAGTTTATTTGGATACTTTACCTGGTCTGCTAATATATCTTTGATAACTTACCTAACATTAGCATTAAGTCAGTGGATACATAACATTTGCATTTAACCATTGTGAACATTTGGGAAAGTGTTTGTTTAAATATTTATATTTATTTTGAGTAAGTATACTCACCCTGCTGTGAAAATTACATTAGCTCTTTTCTGTTCTACTGTTTATGGCAGGGCCAAAGTGTCAACGTTAGGCTACCAAACGGTAACTAGGTATATATTTATCCATGACATCTATGATATATAGTACAGTTCATATTTATGACAGCAGCTGACCACCTTCTTCAGCAGTCTTTGATCTCCCCTTTGCACATGGTAGCAGTCTCATCTTCACACCAGCATCAGTACAAACCAGAATATTGCAGCACACTTCATCCACTTAATACTGTATACTCTTTACAGTGCACACCCTTAATCCCTCATTGTTTGTAGTAGAACCACATACTGTATATTGATGCACTTAATTGTGTGGATAAGCCATGTTTGCCTCCAGCTCTTCTCAGTCTAATACCAGTTCACTGAACACACAGGAGGCCTGGTTCGTGTCACTGTGGGCTGTACTCTTATGAGCTGGAATTATGCATTGCTGAAAGTTCCCTTTAATCTCCTTGAGGAATCATTTTGCAATCACAAAATGAAATGGGGATTTTTTTTCCTACTTTTCTTCTTCATTGTTTTTTGTGTGATTCCCTTGAGTGGGGCAGAGCAGAGTAAAGCCTCTACTGAATAAATAAAGCACTTGGAGTGAAGAACATCACAATCACTGGCCAGAGGGGAAACATAAAGCCTGAGTTCTGGTAGCGGAACGATACCGTGGAAATTATTCTGTTTACTGAGTCTCTGTCCTGTGGTTACAATACAGCCAAGAGAATGGTGGCACAAATCTGGTGAATACATTTATCAAAATAGTGCTAGTAATATTTAACAGAAAATGTGTTTTTTAAAACTGTGTTTTTATTTTATTAACCTCTATTGGCATGTGAATTTTTTGGCAATACAGTCCCAACTGTCAGCATGTCAACAGGTTGTTGCTCACTAATGTAAAAGAAGGTAATGGTGGGGCCATATTGTCATCTATTCAGTGATGTAACAACTTAGACAATTGAATTTCCTTTCTTCTAATTATTTCTGTAGTTCTACCATATGGTGTGCTCCTGCAGTGTCAGGATGACCCTCATTACAACACTGTTCACCAAAATGTGTCGGTACCGATTACTGGGCAGTGATCTTGTGCTAGTTTGAGTAGGGATTCAGTCATAGTATGTAGGCTAATGATATAATGTCAGACCTTTTAGATGTGCATCTGCTTTCAGCCAGATTAAAAATGCATTATTGTGGTGAACTAGGAAGTTTACAGTGTGTTAGTATAATGTCAGTATAGATTCAGTATAATTTGCGGAGGATTCATATGGCCAAATTTTTTTTTTTTTAAATATCCAGATAGTAATAAGAATACTTTAACAATGTCAACACACAACATAATAATCAAAGACAAAATTATTCACATATGTAAAACAAGAACCATAGTGACTCATTCTGTGAGTTTGAAGTACAATTTACACATCTTTCCTGGAGTAGTGTTGACAGATTTGTTTTGCAGACCTTGAACTCGCAATAAGAGATGAGAATAGATTAGAAATAATGAAAGAACTGAGTTAAAATAAATCACTGTGTGTAATTCTTGGCCTTAAAAGGTGAGTTTGTAGTGACAAAGCCACAGAAGAGTTTTTGATGTTGAAGATATTTTTAAAAAGTACTTTATGCATTTGGAATAAAGGGCCATTTGTGCATTACAAGAATTCCCAAAACGGTTGTTGTTAATACAGAAGCAGTTACTGTGAATGATGGTTGATTATGGAGGTCTTCTACAGGGCACTGAGGACTCGTCACTATTCCCAAAGCCAGTCCCCTCGCCATGTGACATCACATGCTTTCATGTGATACACTGATCTGTTGCCAATCTTGAGGGCTTCCATTTGAAATTCTAGTTAAATGGAATTTGTGCTACAGAACAGATAATTGACTCCGCAGTCGGGTGAGGAGTTATGCAGATACAGCCAGCAAAGCTGCAGTCGAGCCTGGAGCAAACACAAGATGACTGGAGCCAAACTGTTAGGTACAGTAAGACGAAAACAACTATGCTACACAGGCTGGTGTCTGTGGGCGCTACTGAAAAGTTCTTGTGAAATTAGATCCTGGAAGTAAATTTTATTATCTCAGTACTTCTCGACTTTTTATGTTGTCATTATATTTTAAGTAAGTTTTGATCAAAGCTGCCTCTAAATGGCAGAAAAATAAACAGGTAAACATGAATATGATGTTATTTGGTTACTGTCTGATGAAGGGGGTGTGTATCTTAAATAGTGCATGGAAAGAGGTGTGCATTGTACATTGAGAGCTAAAGTTTACCGGCAGTGACTTTTACAGGAACACGTGGTTGTTGTGGCAGCACTCTGTTCTTAGAAGGATCAGACAGTTTTCTTGTTTACCTTAAAGGTATATTGATAAAGATTTTAAGATTTGATTATGAAATGATTGCACTAATTAGTTAGTTTTGCTTATTGAGTTGGACCTTGTTGGAATCAATTGTGTCTAGATTTCACTGTGTTGTCATCTTATGCTTCTTAAGTTAGTTGCCCTTGGCCGGTTTTCTTTCATCTCACTGTACTTATATTGTAGTCGCCATCCAAGTATTTCTATTATGTTGAACCTGACAGAATAACTAATGTGACTGAAGTCCTGTTTTGTCACGTTAGCTCTATTACAGATTAAATTTTAAATAAACTTGGGCATAATTATCACTAAACCACTTTTTATTTTTACTTTTTTTTTGTTCTGGCAGTAATCTATATTAGGCAACATCTCAACATAGCATGGCAAAACATGTTGTTTTTACAAAGACAAAACTTATGGTGCAGTTTTCCTTTTAAATTGCTTCCATAATCTCAGTATTTTGTTACATTAATGAATGAGGGTTTTCTTTAACTGTCAAGGAATGGCTTTTTAAAGAGTCTAGTCAGAAACACACTAGAAACATAGTTAGTGATGTGAAATTTTAAGGGGGCGGTTTGGCCATTAAAGTCTGTGAAGATGATTTCACAACTTTTTTTTCTTGTAGAGGATTAAATTAAAAACCATGCAACTACCCTGCACAGAAATAATAGCCTGTTGCTTTGATTTTCCTCTTATGAAGGATACTTTCACAGTCCTTTGGGTGTATGTCTAAATTTGATGTTTTTTCCTCTTCTCACCTTTCCTTATAGCTCAGACATGAGTGGGGCCAGTAACATGTTGGCGAGGGAGTTCCTGACTGATGTTCATCAGCTATGCAGTGCAGTGGCCCAGAGAGCAGAGGCACGGGAGGAAGATGAGGAGGAAAGTCACATGGCAGCATTGGGAGAATACCTGGTCAGGGGACGTGGCTTCCTGCTGCTCAGCACCCTGGACTCAATCATTGACCAGGTAAGGACAAACTAAGCACACCCCTTTTGTCCCTTCAGTGTGTGCATTTACAACTGGAGTATGTGGAGTACAGTATGTAGGTTTTTATTTTAGCAATTAAGGGAAAACAACCGTTGTCACTAATTAACACGTCTTAGGCTATTGAGAGGGGCATTACTGCTGTTGTGAGCTCAACTCATGTTTGATTGCAAAAAAAAAAAAAAACTACTTCATGATCATTGCCCAGTGATAATAACAGCAAATGTAAGGCCTTTATTTTTAGTTTCCAATTCTGCCTCCCACTCTTAAATCAGCCTTTCTGAAGCTGTTCATTATCAGCATGACAAATTCAAATTTCTGCACATAAGCTTTTACAACTACTACTGCGACTACTATCTGTTCATCAAAAGGATATTGCAGCTTTTAGTTCCAGATACACAATAAAAGCAATAAGGGCTGTACAAACATCAGATAGACATCAGCTGGTAGAGTGAAAGGAGTATTTAATGACCACCGGGGGAAAATGGTAGTCAAAAATAAGGTATGCAATGATAAGATACTATATCATTTTATGTTCAAACAAGAATCAGTAGAACAGATTCTACATTTTAAGTTTTGAATTTTCACTGGACTTCTATGATTATTAATATCAACTCTTTTCAGTACGCTGCCAGCAAATGTTTTCACATGCAAAGTATAAATACTGAATGCTTGCTTTGATATCCAGATATTTAAGCACATACTCTACCCAGTCATTATATCACCACATAACCTTTACTATATATTGGTGTAGTGGCCATTTAGGATGCCTCTCGACATCTGTTGCTGTTGTTAGTGCAGCTGTCAGCGTGGTTAACTCAAAACAGGAAATGAGCTCTTGCATGCCCATATGTTTGATTACAGAAAGCAATCTCTTCATTCTGCTGCTGCACAGAAGGTGGTGATGCTGATATGCAGATCCATTTAGAACAGTCTAGTAGCACTGTCTTTCTTTCAGAAACAGGATGTTGCTGTATATTTGTATGTTTTTCTATCATACAATATATGTACTGGCTCTCAAAATTGAATTTGCAGATGTGTTTTAGACTTCAGTGGTAGGGTAGGCATAATGTACAATGAAGGGCAAAGGCTGCCACTCTCTGTCTTAGCACCTCTATTTGTGACAGTGGCACATTATTTGTGGCACTCTATTTATGTAGGTGCTCATCTTCAGTGTTATGAATGGTCTCACAGGAGCAGGTCTTGTATGATTTGTCAACTGGTACCGTGTTCTGACAGAGCCCAGTGTTTCCTCTACCTACCCACTGATGTACGGGTCTGTAGACTTCACCCTGCAGAGCTCAGATAGATATTATAAGTGAGTGTTTTTTGGGTCAAGTAACAAGTTAGTAGATGCTCTAATTCAGATTGAATCATGCGGTTTTCACATGCCCAGTTAAGCACTGCACATACAGGCCAGTGTGAAAACAGAGCAAAGAGTGTTGTAGCTATGTGTTTTCCAGTTAAGTTTCCTGTGTTAGACATGTCCCTGCTACCGAGTCAACCTTCATAAAACATCATGGTCTCATGAAGTGTTGAGCGCTTTGACGCTAATTGTGTGAATGTGGCTTTGTAGAAAGAGCAACAGTGATGACATCAGTGCATAAACAGGCTAAATGCCCACCAAATGAAGTCTTATGGCCATTGAGGTAGACTAGAAACCACTGACGAGGCAAGAAATCCACCAGCAGCCTTTGTTAGAATGTAATTACCAATCTGTTCTTAAGAGGTTCCAGAGAGAAAGATTTCATCTTGGCTGTTGTTCTTTTCATGCCAAACTGTGTGTTTTTAAAGTAGTAGTATAATGCTCTTACTCTGAGTCATGATGCATTATTGAATGAAATGTTGTAATTTGATGAATGTGACCTTGTGTGTCAGCATTCCTGTGGCCTCATATTGTTCATAACTCTTAGCTAATTTCATCCGCATGCATCCTCTTGCTTTGTGCTTTTGCTGTGGCCTGGCTAGAGTTGAGCCTTTAGTTGGGGCCAGACACTTCAGAAACATTTTTTATTTGTGCTGCAAAACATGGTGTCAAATTATAAAACTAGTGTTTGAATTCAACAGAGGATTTATTTTGAGCTTTGTGTGTTCCACTATGTTGTTAAATACTCCCACTCTGTGCCATCTGGTCCCTGTCTGCTAGCTCTCACACTGCTTAGATGACTCAGCTCCATCTCATTAACATTTCTTTCTTTAATGATTTTATATTTTTAATGTATTTATTTTTATTGACTGGCCAAATGTGAGATTACTGTCATCACAGGGTACATCATTAGCTGAGTTATTCAAATTGCAAATGCTTAGCTACTTCCAGAAAAAAGCTAAAGCTAATTTACAGTCCGAGGTGGAACTGATTTTAACAGTCAGTCAGTGACAGTCGTTTCTGACAGCCATTGCCCATGCACAAACAGAACATAAGTGCCGGACCCATTACCTTTAAGAAACTGGTCATTTTCATCACTTCTTTCTCTCATTTAATGATTCAATGTACTCTCTTGTACTCTAATGCAGTGTCTATTTACAGTGAAAATAGTGGACATTTTGACAGTCATGCAAAATCAGCAAGCTGATCATATTTAATTAACACATGAAGAAGTTGGTTCTCTCTCTGCTGTGAGAAATGCCCTGGATTGTCATGAGATCCCCAAGGTCTTGGAAGTAAAGCTGTCATGCAGATGTTACATTGCTCTTCTCTGCTTGCACAGAAGACTACCCAACTGACTCAGTGTGCACATAAACAAATGGTTAGCTCTTAGCTGAAAATCATTTTTGTAAAACTGTTGAATTCAGATAAAATAAAATCCTAGAGTGTGTGTGTTTCTTTTTGCTGAATGTAGTAAAACCAAAGGGACATTTGTATTAATGTTTGGACAAGAGTGTGTCTTGGTGGGGGTGTCTTCATATGGCATCAGAGTGTGACCAAAGGGAGAAGGACGGTGAGGTGTCCTAGCTATCCTCACTCTGTTTCTTTTGCGTTCTCAGGAGCTGACATGTCGGGAGGAGCTTCTCAAATTGCTGTTGTCTTTGCTGCCATTGGTTTGGAAGATCCCTGTTCAGGAGGAAAAAGCCCCAGGTGAGTACCCACAAATGGTTACTATTAGTTATTTGTGTTGATGTTCGCCACACAAACATCACATTGCCAGCTGTAATTTTACTGCCGCTTATTCCTAGTCTAACTACTGTAATGATTTCAGTTGACATGCTTCTCTGTGATACACTAATATTATTTATAGAAATAAACTAAAATACAGATTGCATTTCATGGGCCAGAAATTTTCTGTCTTCATTTTTGTATTTGTTTGATTTTCCATCACAGTTCTTCACAAATGATTGCCCTCAAGTTTCAGCACTAGGTTTGGTGGGTTTTGTGCACATGTTTGTGATGTGCTCATCAAATTACTCACTTTTATTTAGAATTTGATACTTAATTTTCTTGACATTGAAAACTGTGTATTGTACCCGTTTTTAGACATATGAATCCATTTTGAGCAATTTAGCTAATGTCTCTATTGTGATAAGTCTTAATGTTACACAACAAGAGAAGACTAGTGGTTGCAGAGGCCTGTGACCTCAGAATGACACTGGTATTTAGTACAGGACTGCTAATCCCCTCTAACAGGGACCCTAGACATTTTTACTTTAATTAATTCCTACTAAGTTTAATTAGCAAACAGGCCATGGCTGCTGACATGCAACTGGGCTATAGGTTCTTCCTCTAACACTATGAAAATTTGTTTTTGAAATACAAAATCTAGTTTTTATTAAGTCTCACATCTTAAAAGTTACATAAACAGGCAGAAATTTCTTTTTGCTTCAGTGTAGAATTTGGGTTTCCATGTGTATAAGTCCACTTGGTGTAGTGTGTTTATACAATATGTACATCAAGACTGAGATATTTCTGTGTTGACAGATTTCGCCCTGCCATCCCTACTGGAGGTCTTTCTTAGCCGGGAGGTGAAGGCCATCCCCCCCAGAACAGGACAGAAGGCAGCGACAGATGAACTGAACTCCGGGAAGAGGTCTCGTGTTGGCAGTGGCACCTGGAAATCACGGAGGTTGCGCAGACCAGCACAGAGATACTCTGTAAAAGATGCACGCAAGTCCCAGGTTTCTACCTCAGATTCAGAAGCCAACTCTGAAGACAAAGCTGGCCCAGGTGGCGTGAGGAGCCGGAGATCACAAGGTTCTACCATCCGGGTAAGCTGTCAGCATCATCGTTCACAGCTCACCTCCACTGCCACCACCACCACTACCACCACAGAAGCCATGAGTGCACCTTACCCACACCCCCGAGCCCCTGGGTCCCAGATGGCAGACACAGAAACACTGACAGACCCAGCTGCAATATCAATTTTCAACCGCATGGAGAACTCTTCCTTTGATCTCTGTCATGTTTTGCTTTCACTGCTGGAGAAGGTTTGTAAGTTTGACATGAATATTAACCACAACCCAGTCCTGGCTGTCAGTGTTGTACCAACTCTCACTGAGTACCTGACTGACTTTGGAGATTGCTGTAGTTCAGTGAGAGGGCGTGGAGGTGGAACAGTGTCAGAGGAGCTTGCTGGAGGCTGGACCAAAGAACCCATTGCCCTCGTCCAGAGGATGCTTCTGCGTACCATCTTACACCTGATGTCAGTGGATGTGAATCAGAGTGAAACCCTTCCAGACAGCCTGAGACGCAGCCTGATAGACCTGCTGCGAGCCACCCTCAAAATCCAGAGCTGCTTGGACAAACAGACTAACCCTTTTGCTCCTCGACCCAAGAAAACCCTGCAGGAGGTCCAGGATGATTTTTCATTCTCACGCTATCGCCACAGGGTACTGCTGCTGCCAGAGCTTTTAGAGGGAGTACTGCAAGTGCTGCTGGGCTGCCTGCAGGCTTCCACATCCAACCCCTCTTTCTTTAACCAGGTGCTGGAGCTCATCCATGAATTTGTCCAGCACCGTGGTCTGGAGCTGTTTGAGGCCACAGTGCTGCAGCTGGAGGGACTTGGTAGGGCCAAGGATTGTGAAGTGGGAGGTGAGGCTTTAGAGAGGCTACGAGGTCTCATTGCAGGACTTTTCAAGATAATCAGTGCTGTCAAGAAAGCAAAGTCAGAGCAGCTGCATCAGTCTGTGTGTGCCCGACGTCGTCATCGTCGCTGTGAATATTCACATTTCCTCCATCACCATAGAGATCTGTCAGGTCTGCCCGTCTCTGCTTTCAAGCAGACAGCTAGACGCAACCCCTTTGAAGAGGATGGAGAAGGCAAGGAAGGCATGGAGAGTGATGCGGAGCGCTACCCTAAGCGGTGCTGCTGTCTTGCTGCCTGTGCTCACCAGTGTCTGCGGCTCTTGCAGCACCTGTCCCCGAGTGGGCCAGCTGTTCTACAGGTGCTGGCTGGAGTGCAGGCTGTTGGAATCTGCTGCTGTATGGACCCCCGCTCAGTGGTAGGGCCTCTGCTGCATGCCTTTCAAGCTCCAGGTCTGCGTAGTTACCAGTCTCATGTTCTCAGTGTCCTAGGCAGACTGATTCTAGATCAGCTTGGAGGGGGGCAGCCCTCAGAGAAAGCCAGACTGGCCTCCTGCAACATCTGCACTCTGGACATCAGCCAGCTGCCAGGCCTGGAGGAAACACTGCAGCAAGGGGAACCCTCTGTTGTTTCTGCCAGTCACTGCTACCGCTCTGAGGGTATTCTACCAAGTGGAGGTGGGGCAGAGGACATGCTGTGGAAGTGGGATGCTCTGGAGGCCTACCAAGACCTAGTTTTTGGTGAGGACTGGCAGCTGAGCCAGCAGATTGCTGGGCATGTCTGCCACCTGACCCTGCGGGGAAACGCTATAGTGCAGTGGCAGCTTTACACACACATCTTCAACCCTGTGCTGCAGAGAGGGGTAGAGCTTGCCCACCATGCCCAGCAGCTGGGGGTTTCCATTGTCTGTGCTCAGGTCTGCAGCTATCACACGCAGTGCCTGCCTGTGGAGGTGCTACTTATATACCTGCAAACATTACCTGCCCTCCTCAAATCAAGGTAAGCTGTTTTAAATCACTTTAAAATATGTTTTACTTCAGTCCATATTTTTTTTAGTAGATGTTTTAGTCTGTCTCTTTTGTTTTCCCTCTAGTATTGGACTGCATTTTAGAGTTGTGCCAAATGTGTTTTGATTTTACATTTTTCAGGGAGGAACATGCGTAGCTGGTGTCCAAAAAATTCTTCTTAAGAAATAGATTTATCTTTCTTTCACATAAAGCATATATAATCAGGCAGCTCAAAGTAAGACACCTAATCCTGCTGGACATTGTTTGTTATTAGAGCTGTCTCTCCATGTCATTGCTAATTGAATCTAATCAATAATTTATCACAGCTTTGTGGACTGACGGCAAAAACAGGCGCATGTGATTCATCTGGATACATATAAATAAAATGCAGGCAATTAATCAGGTTTCAGTTTTAGGTTGGTTATAATCAGCTGAATATAGATTCCTCTGCTGTGAGACAATCTAGAGATATTGGAACAACCATATGTGTGATTGTGAGTGCTTTTGTCTGTGCATGTTAGTCTAAGCGACCTGTATAGGTTGTATCCTGGCTCCTGCTCAGGGCATGCTGGGATAGGTTGTGTCCCCTTGCGACCCTAAACGGGATCACTGGGTACAGAAAACGGATAGATGGATGCTCTGAGATGTTCTGCCAGTGGTGGGCTGATAGGTTTCCTTATTTAAATTCAGTGTGTTTGTCTGTTGTCTACAGGTTTCACTGTCATTCAGTCTTTACTGTGATGTTTTTCATCTGAGCCTTTTAAAAAGAGTTTTAGAAACAGTTGTAGGTCCTTTGTTGTTTAAAGTAACACTATGCTAGTCTTATACAGTGGTGTGAAAAAGTGTTTGCCCCCTTACTGATTTCTTATCTTTTTGCATGTTTGTCACACTGTAATGTTTCAGATCGTCAAACAAATTTATATATTAGTCAAAGATAACACAAGTAAACACATCATGCAGTTTTTAAATGAAGGTTTTTATTATTAAGGGAAAACAAAATCCAAAACTATAGAGCCCTGTGTGAACAAGTGTTTGCCCCCCTGTCAAAACACTGGTTTATCGCACCTGAGTTCAATTTCTCTTGCCACACCTGTTCGCAATCAAGAAATCACTTAAATAGGACCTGCCTGACAAAGTGAAGTAGACCAAAAGATCCTCAAAAGCTAGACATCATGCCGAGATCCAAAGAAATTCAAAAACAAATGAGAAAGAGAATAATGGAGCTCTATCAGTCCGGAAAAGGTTATAAAGCCATTTCTAAAGCTTGGGGACTGCAGATTTCTTATCTTTTTGCATGTTTGTCATACTGTAATGTTTCAGATCATCAAACAAATTTAAATATTAGTCAACGATAACACAAGTAAACACATCATGCAGTTTTTAAATGAAGGTTTTTATTATTAAGGGAAAACAAAATCCAAAACTACAAAGCCCTGTGTGAATAAGTGTTTGCCCCCTAAACCTAATAACTGGTTGGGCCACCCTTAGCAGCAACAACTGCAATCAAGCGTTTTCGATAACTTGCCATGAGTCTTTTACAGCGCTGTGGAGGAATTTTGGCCCACTCATCTTTGCAGAATTGTTGTAAGTCAGCCACATTGGAGGGTTTTCGGGCATGAACTGCCTTTTTAAGGTCATGCCACAGCATCTCAATTGGATTCAGGTCAGGACTTTGACTAGGCCACTCCAAAGTCTTCATTTTGTTTTTCTTCAGCCATTCAGAAGTGGACTTGCTGGTGTGCTTTGGATCATTGTCCTGCTGCAGAACCCAAGTTCGCTTCAGCTTGAGGTCACAAACGGATGGCCGGACATTCTCCTTCAGGATATTTTGGTACACAGCAGAATTCATGGTTCCATTTATCACAGCAAGTCTTCCAGGGCCTGAAGCAGCAAAACAGCCCCAGACCATCCCACTACCACCACCATATTTTACTGTTGGTATGATGTTCTTTTTCTGAAATGCGGTGTTACTTTTACGCCACACATAATGGGACACACACCTTCCAAAAAGTTCAACTTTTGTCTCGTCTGTCCACAGAGTATTATCCCAAAAGTCTTGGGGATCATCAAGATGTTTTCTGGCAAAACTGAGACGAGCCTTTATGTTCTTTTTGCTCAGCAGTGGTTTTCGTCTTGGAACTCTGCCATGCAAACCATTTTTGCCCAGTCTCTTTCTTATGGTGGAGTCATGAACACTCAGCTTAACTGAGGCAAGTGAGGCCTGCAGTTCTTTGGATGTTGTTGTGGGGTCTTTTGTGACCTCTTGGATGAGTTGTCGCTGCGCTCTTGGGGTAATTTTGGTCGGCTGGCCACTCCTGGGAAGGTTCTCCACTGTTCCATGTTTTCGCCATTTGTGGATAATGGCTCTCACTGTGGTTCGCTGCAGTCCCAAAGCTTTAGAAATGGCTTTATAACCTTTTCCGGACTGATAGAGCTCCATTATTCTCTTTCTCATTTGTTTTTGAATTTCTTTGGATCTCGGCATGATGTCTAGCTTTTGAGGATCTTTTGGTCTACTTCACTTTGTCAGGCAGGTCCTATTTAAGTGATTTCTTGATTGCGAACAGGTGTGGCAAGAGAAATTGAACTCAGGTGCGATAAACCAGTGTTTTGACAGGGGGGCAAACACTTGTTCACACAGGGCTCTATAGTTTTGGATTTTGTTTTCCCTTAATAATAAAAACCTTCATTTAAAAACTGCATGATGTGTTTACTTGTGTTATCTTTGACTAATATATAAATTTGTTTGACGATCTGAAACATTACAGTGTGACAAACATGCAAAAAGATAAGAAATCAGTAAGGGGGCAAACACTTTTTCACACCACTGTATTCAGATAAATGTTAATATAGAAAATATTGATCAGTGTTTTAACTAAAGTTAACAGCGTAACAGTTTGTATCTTTTTACATGACTTGATGGCCAATTTAGTAATAATAACATGTAAAACTGGATATAAAAGGTGTGAATGGTGAGGTCACCCAAAGTCAGCTTAATAACTTATCAACCTAACTGTAGTTATTCAGTATACTACTGATGTTACTGAGACAACCAAACACTCAACAGTTTAACACCAACTAACTGGGAATTCTCCTAAACCACCTAAATTCAGATGGTGCCCTCAGAAAAGCATGCAGCATCCATAAATACTGTATGTGCACTTTATGCAAACATCTTTGCTCTAGGAATAAAATGTTTTGTATTGTATTGATTGTTAAGGTTGACTGATATACACTAGTTGTGAATGAGGACAGTCAGTTTGTATTTAAATCATTTCCTGTAGTAATTGTGTTTCCCTTTTAAGTGTTGACCAACATTACAAATGACACCACTTGACAGTGGCAGCCAGCTAACGCTAATGATACAGAAGTTATTTTTACTTTAAGAAGTATACCAAAAGGAAAAGCTGCAAGATAACCTAAAAGCAGTGAGTCTTCTCCAGCTTGTACATCATCTGACATTGTGGCTGCCTCTTCATCACCACTTTCTCCTCCTGCATAACAGAATTCTGCATCTCTATTTTTTTCAGATGAAAGCATTAAATATGCAGTCTAATGGATAGTCACCCTGATGGACTTGCACACCACTAATGAAAGGAGGAAATGTTCTGAAAAAGTAGACTTAATGAACTCTACATTACTTTAGAGGAAAGCAGGAGTAAGGGTTTGAATTGGAGAGAAAAAAAATCAGCAACTTAATAACCTATGAAATTTATCTATGTCATGCACGTCTGTTTCAGTTCCACTGTTAAATTCATGTATAATGTCAGCACATCTCTTGAGAGTGCTGTTTTCTGTAACCAAATGTTGAATTAACCTTCACTCAGAGGTTATTCTTTTAAGATATTTTACCCTGCCATGTTACAGTCTTTATCACTGCCTTGGTAGTGTGTGTGTAAAGCAGTTGTAAACACATTTAAAGGGGTAAAATGTCAGCTTTGTTTTACTAACTAAATCTTCATATAACTGTCACAAAATGTCACAGAAATGTTTTAGATTTGGCTCAGTAAAGAAAAGACATACCAAAAATCATAATAGACATCAATACAAATGCAATTTATACAGTAGGAGCTTTACAAAAATAGCAGCTCTGTTCATGTGTAATGTTAGTGTGTAGTGTTTTTCACAGTTAATTTATCTTGTTAATAGAAGTTGGCTAATTTATATAAAGGCATTGTTGTGCCCTGGGGAGATTTGCAACCTTATGTGAGAAAGTGAAATAAGTGATGGAAGGAGTGTGTTAGCACTGTGATAGCAGTGGCTTAGCAGCGGCTGACTAGGTGTAGAATTAGCTTGATTAGACTGAGTGGTACCATTTGTTTCAATTGTTGTGAGATCAAGGAGAGTTTAAATAATGCAGTTCATGTTTACCCTTTCTTTTTGTTAACATTTACATTTTTCCTCTGTGAATAACTACAATGTAAATGTAAAAAAAAGTATGTGCATCTGTAATTGCCCATATTTATATACTTACTGTGTATGTTTGTGTTCTTGTTCTGTTTTCCTTTGCCTAATCTCTAGTATTTTCTGTTTCAGAGTGATCAGAGAGCTTTTTGTCAGCTGCAACGGGCTCAACCAGGTGACAGAGCTTATCTACCTGGACCAGACCCGCTCTTTGGCTTTGAAGGTGTTTGAGACTCTGATAATAGGTATTGGACACCAGCAGGCTGACGGGGTGCTTCTGGAGCTGGAGGGTGCTGATGCTGAAGAAAGGGAGGCTGTCTTGGGCCTGGCAGAGGAACTGGGGTCAAGAGGGTCTGGAGAGGGCCCGCAGAGCCTTAACAAGTTTTACGAAGGCCTAAAGGAGACATATCCGCATCATAAGAGCCAGAGTGGGCAGGGCCGTGGACCACGTCGCAGCCGAGCAGAGACCCACCTCCATGTTATCAACCTCTTTCTGTGTGTGGCCTTCCTCTCTGTCAGCAAAGAAGCTGATTCTGACCGCGACTCAGCCAATGACTCCGAGGACACTTCAGGTTATGACAGTACAGCCAGTGAACCTCTTGGTGGGCGGCTGCCTTACCTATCCCCAGAAAGTGTGGCTCTACCCTCCAAAGAGCAGGTGCAATGTGCTGCAGATGTCTGGTCAGTGTGTCGGTGGATCTACCTGACCAGTCCCTTGTTTCGGAGGCAGTTCTTCAGACTTGGAGGACTGGATGTCTGCTTGCGCCTCATGACCATGGTTATTCAGAAGCTTTCTTGTAAGCCCAAGGATGTGAAAGCAAAGAAGAAAAGGGATGGTAAGGGCAAAGGCAGCCCTGAGTTCACTATGCCAGCAACTTCTCTAGGACAGGAGGAGCTACCTAATGATTCACCCAGCACTCCCTGCACAAGTCCAGCTGATGGAAAGACCAAAGATCCAGCAAAGAAGCTGGAGGAAGAGTGGCAAATCCACAATATTCGTCTCCTTGAGGCCCTTTTGGCTATTTGCCTGCATAGTGCAAACTCGGCCTTGCAGAGGATAGAGCCTGAAGTTTCTTATCAGGTGATTCACCTTGTATCATACTGACCAATTAATCAGCCAGAAAAAGAAACACCTTTACCCAAGTTTGAACTGCACTGTTATATGTCCTCTTTGTCTATAGCCGCAGTCAGTGGAAGATACACTGTTTGCAGTGAGAGACCAGCTCTCTCGCTCAGGGGTGGTGAACTCTGACCTTGCTGTTCCTCTGTTTGACTCCCTCCTGAGAGTGGCCCTGGCCAGGGTGTCATCCTCTCCTGATCCCCCTGATGAGAAGCCAGACAGGGTGAGTACTGCCTTGGAAGAGCCACTGACTGTTATTGTGCACCGTTTATATTCTCAGGTTATTTCAGCTACTCATGTATCAGTAGGCAAGTTCAGGTTATAGGCAGTTAGGCATCAGACACTTGATTCCCCTGCAGCCGGGTGCCATCAGTGTTCAACACAATATAAAGCTCTTGGCAAGATGTTACTCTGCTAACCTTATCAGTTCTGAGGGGCATCTACTTGGTAATATAAACCTTTTGAATTTATAAAAATGTATTAAGTATTTTCTTTTTGACCTTATGTGCAAATTTTCCCACAGCTGCAGAAACCCTCTGCTTGTGCTAACAACTACTCCATCTTTACTGCCTGCATTCCATGTAACAAAGTGGATATACTATACTTACTAAGCAAATGTTGCTTTGATTTTATTTGCTGCTATTTTAAAATTAGTGCCTTGGGGCGTTTAAAGTGGCATTCTTATCACTCTCTCCTGATTTTCTGTCGTCTCTTGAATGTCAGCCCTGTAAGTGTCACACAGTGCCTAAAAATACATCTAAAAATAACAGGTACTAATTGCAATGTAACAAGAGGCCAACTGATGTTGTGTGGGAGTTTCATTTTCTTGGTTGCTCAGTCTCTATCATCTTTTTCTTGCTCTTTTATTTGATGCTTAAGCTCTCGGGCAGGAGCGAGAACAAAAGAAGCGCTCTCAAAATTTTTGAACAAGCCATATGCGACCAGAAACAGACTGCATCTTCTGTTTGCTACCCAACTTACCTTCAGTTGTGCCCAGTGAGCTGCTGTCAAGGGAACAAGTATGACCAGGATTATTGGCAATTACAGGGACCGGTTGCCCCGACAGCCGAACAGTTATGGTGTGGCGCACCATATATGCAAACGCAAGTGAGTAAGTGACATTGGCAGTTCAAGTTGAGCTGCCAACCTATGTTGCAGGTCCTCTTCTCTGTCTTCCCTGTTTCCTCTCCACAATCTGCTCTACCCATGATATAAAATAATAAAGGTAAATGCCCAAAAATAACTTACTATATTATATAACATATTTTAAAAAATACAGGGATTAATTTATTTTATTTATTTATTTATTTATTAATTCCAAGCATGTAATAAAACAGAGAGAAACAGAGAAAAAAAAGGAAGAAAAAAAAGAAATCAACATGTAACACAAAACAACCAAACCAATTACCATATACAACCAAAAAAAATAGAAATTTCTCTTGATGATGCTTAGTCATTACATGCTTGCAAGGGAGTAGAAAGAAATAATACTTATCTAGTTCTACCCCTAGTGATCCAAACTATGGTTGACACAACCCAAGTGTTTAACTAAACAACTACACTGGTTATATTCCCGCAACCACCAAATTACTACATTCCTTCTAACCACAAATCACATTTACATAATTAGAAAACAAATGATAAACAATAAATTATTCATATCCCACCCATAAATACACCAATAATAACTTGATAAGATCATTACACTTCTTGTATCCGATACCCAGCTTTTTCATGAGAAAATTCAAGTAATTTTGTCTTAAGTTCATTTTATACAGGTTATAACTTCCTTTTCCACAACTGCTGACATATGAAATACACATAATCGAAATGTATGAACATCACAATTAAGCAACACATTTGTTTAAACATTTAACCTCAGTAAATGAAATAGCATATTATGTGGAACAAAGAACGTTTAACTGGTTTAACACATATAAACACTTGGTTAATAGCACAGACAAGTGAAAATACACTTAACTTTCTAAACGGTGATGTTTGTCACTACTTTGCAGAAGTCATTTGTCACAGTGACTAAAATAACTGTTGTTTGTAAAGGCTGCTTCACCAGCTCTTGCCAATATAGATATACTTTTAGCCAATTTATTATGTATATATTTAATATGAGGTTTCCAACAGATTTTATCATCAATATTTATGCCTAGAAATTTTGTTTCGTAAACTTTTTCTATATTGGCATCCCCCACCTTTACTTGAATCTGACGATTTAATCTTCTATATCCAAACAGATTGAATAATGAATTTTCTCCTGATAAGATTCTTTTAAACACAGAAGACTTAACAAAGCATATTTCATCTACAATTGTTTTGTTGCTTTTTTCCCAGTAGAATGAAACAGACTGTTCATTTACTGCACTGTATCTGCTGCTGCTTTGGCTGAACACCACAGCAAAATACAAAGAGCAGTGGTGTTTGTTTAGGAGGATAGCATACAATGAAAGGAAAACCATTTTCTAGCCAAGTGTTAACAAGCATCAGGGCTGCTGGGTGTGGCCACTCACACTATGTTGCTAAGTAGCTATTATCTCCCTGATGGACAACAAAACAGCACACATAAATAATGACAGTCCTCGTCTAGATTGAGCACTGGATGCAAACATGGTCTTATTTTGAAACACCCAGCAGGTCACTGAAAGTTTTCTGTTATCTTTATAAATAATAAAAAAAATTGGTTATAATATTAAGACAGCTTTTCAAAGTCACAAGACAGGTAACAAAGAAAAGCCTTCAGTCACACCAACTTCCGCCTTCTCAATAGTGTTACTGTAGGCTTTGCTAAAGAAATGTAATCAAGACCATATATGGTTAGGATCAGACATGTAACAGCTTTGAATTGTTTCAGGAAGTGAGATGTATACAGGAAAGTGTATACAGGAAAACAAAACCTAAAATGACTTGCTGTTTCTTATCACAGAGTCTTAGATGTGTTTTCCACAAGTCTTAAAATGCCAATAAGACTATTGCAACACAGGAGGATTTAACTTTTTATATAATAATTAACCTATTTCCCAAGAGCTTAGTTCTTTCTAAGTAAGCCCAGCAGTGTGTGATGTTCTTTTAACCATTACAGTTTTGTGCTGTGAAGTGCCAAGATTAGTCTTCCACCACAAAGGTGGTCCACTGCAGGTCTGTTCTTTGAAAAGTTCCCTTTACCCACAATTGAATATCACAGATGCCAAATACTATGTTGAAAGGAATAGATGCGTGTACTAGTAATCCTCTTCTTTGAACGGTTTATAGTTCAGCTGCTTACTTGAGAGTGGGTGTTTGTGTGTTTGCCTGCGTGCCCATATGATGACTGACTGTTCAAAGAACTGGGCTGTGTGAGTGCTGCGCAGGTCAGCTGATATTTGTCTTATGACCAAATTTTTTTTTCTCATGCCACATGGTTTGCAATTTTTTCACTGTATTAGAGGTAAGACTACTGCATGTCATGCTTAGTGTGTTTTTTGTTAAGGAACTTTTTTAAAGCAGGATTGGGTAAGCTCTTGCAGAATGATTCTTGTCTTACTTGACAGCTGCTTGACAGTTAAACAGACAATGATCTTGGTTAGTTCGTATTTGGTCTGTATTACACTGAAATGCATGGCTCTGTCTTCATGTTGCCTCTCCTTCTCTCTATCCATCTATCCATCTCACTCTTTTTCTCCCACGCTGTTTTTGTCAGAAGCTCCAGGTGTTGGCAGAAGGTGTGGGCCCAGCAGGCGATTTGTCCGAGGAGGTGGATGAGGTGCAGAGCTGTGGCGTCAAACCCCCAGGGGAGGAGGAGGGCTACGACGCTGACAGCGAAAGCAATCCAGAAGAGATGGCCAAGCAGGAAGAGTGTAGGTCCACACTTAGAGTAGTTTACTGCCACACCACCCACCCACACGCTCCTACTCCCATTTACTCCTCCTCAAGAATCCACAGTTACTATATACACATCACCACTCTAAAACATAGTAGCTTAGGCTGGTTAATGTTATTTGTGTTGTTTGCTTTATTTGCAAGTCTTGTAAATACACATTGCAGATTAATTTTCTTAATTTTTTCATTTTAAGAATGCATGAGATCTTTATGTCACATACTCTGTATTCTCTGCCATTTGTTTTTGCTGGTGATGAATGTCAGCAGACTAATCTTGATGGATTGAGAGTCCATGTATTGGTCTTACCCTCTAAACCTGCTGATCTTTAGTCTTGGGAAATCTTCTTTCTCCCACTGTTGAATTTGTCATTCAAGGAGTTTGTTAAATTATCATGCAGTATTACATTTCCTTGCATTCACTGAAATATTTTATGTTAAAAAGCAGTGTCGTCAGTGTTGTGGCTGCCGGACTGTGGAGATGATTTTGCAATAACAAGTTGCTCAATCTTTTTTTTTGCTGATTATAAATGACAGGGCAGAAAACAAGCATGAGTGCTTTTTTCCCCTAAAGTAGTCACTTGTGTCAGCTTTGCCTCTGTTTTGCAGGTTAAGAATCTGGTCTGATTATCCCCTTTTAACTTTTTCCATCTCTTCAGAATAGGGTCATTGTTTTGTTTTACAGCTGTGGGCAGCTACTGTGGCCTCATAAGCTGGATCTTGTGACTTAAAGACCCCATCAAATGAGAGACTAACTTCCTGGAAAAATTGTTGCATCCTGGAAAACGGTGAATCTCTAAGGCTGGCCTCACACTAGACAGATAAATTCCAAGCAATGCAGAACTATTTTCCTGGCAATTAGTGGTCTCTGTTCTTTACACTCAAATCACACAGCCTGTCTTTCCTAGGTACTGAATGTCATGGTTTGATAGGAAATAGATCATTTCTCCCCATGTTTTATCTTTATACCCAAATAAACATTGTCTGTATTCAGAACTTTCTCTCTCCTCACAGTCCGATGCATAACATCACACACACATCCATATTTCCTAGTTTATTACAGTAACCGTATTTATACTTCACCAGCTTCTCATATTCAGTCATACAACCTGTGCAATGAGGTTAACTGAAATGGCTTGTGAATTAAAGATTACATTTCCTTTTCAAAAACAGCAAAATGACATGAAATGCACATTTCGGTTTGCTGCAGTTAAACCCAAACTGCATGCACATTATCCGCAAAATGTTAAGGGAGCCAGGTGTGACCGTCAGTGTGTGTTGTTTAGTTCATATTTACTGAAAGCAGTATGTATCTGAGTTTGTTCAGTGGGCACAGACTACGTAGCTGAAGCCCTGCATACGGTGACAGAGCAAGCTTTATTAATAAAAGGAGGTTCCCAAAGCTGCGCGAGAGCCTACTGCTCTCCTGTAAATCATGAAGGGGCTCCCATGTTGCTCTGAGGCTGAACAGAGGACTGAGTCTAATTCATTTTTATGAGCTGCTTGCAAAATGGGAGGTTGGACATGAAGCAGGGAATGCCTCTGGTTCATGAAGCTGTTTAGGCGCCATATCCTGGCAGTATGTGTCTCTGTGGTGCCATGTGTGGCGTGCCAGTCAGTGTAACAGTTATCATCTCTCCATGTCTGTGTCTTGTTGTGTCCCTGAGCTTGCCCTCATGTCTCTGATTATTATCTCAGGGGTGAACACAGAACCCGCTGTGTTGCATGAGTTTGCTGCAGTGACGGACGGGTCCGGGCGTGGTATGCTGCTGTTCCCGGAGATCTGCACAATGGAGCTGCAGCTACTCGCCACTGGCTCCCCAGACCTGGAGGTTCTGAGTCATGTGTTTCACAGCCTGTTGGATGCAGTACACGCCAACTGCCGCAATGCTGCCTTACTCTACAACCAGGTCAGACTGACAACTTCTTCCTCTTCACATTGCTCTTAACCATCTCAACAGTATACAGCTGTGTCATGGCAAATGTGACTTAACCTGTTGTTCTGGGCCACACAGGGTGGAGTCACAACCATCCTGTCTGCCTTTCACAACCTCCTCAGCCAAACAGACCCCTCCATTACAGGTTTGTTATTTCTTCTGCCTTTTTTTTAATCTGGCCTGACACTAATGTGTGTCAGTTGCGTGTGACATTTGAAGAAAAACTGGGAACAGTCAGTTTACTGTTTTCCCAGTTTTTTTTCTTGCTGTTGACATTTAAACTGATTCCTCGGAGTTCAAACACTTAGTATGAATCTTTTTTTGTAACTCCTGGAGAACATATGTTCCCAATGGACTGATTTTGTATTGTCATATTTATCTTATTTAGCATTGTAAGATAGTGTCTTTTGCAAAATCTTAAAAAATTGTGTGTACACTGGTTGAAGTGTTAGTGAGCCTTGTTTCCTCCTGCTTCTGACATTTTGATGACTAAAACATCAACTGTAATACAGATGTTATAAATAATTGACAATTTGTCCACAATCCTCAGATTATATTTTAGATTGGAGTATAATGTGGCTTTTTTGTTTTTCTTTAGCAGAAATTATGTTTGCTGGGTGCAAAGCAGAGACTTTTATTTTGCGATTTTTACTTGTGCTGTTCTGGTGCATGCCCAAGTGAATGAAAGCAGTTGATGTAATCTGCTCTTCACTGATCTACATTCAGACTGTCAGACCGTGCTGGTGGAGCTGCTGGTTGCCATGGTGAGCCAGCAAATCACAGCAGAGGAACTGGCTCTGTTGATTCGCCTCTTCCTGGAGAAGACCCCACCTACGGTAAACAACATACCCTATCACCCATTCAAAACTCCGCTGTCAGCTTAAGTTCAAGGTGTTGACACTGTTAGCTTACACTCACACCGTCAGTTTTTCAGCAG